GATTTTTAAAGTAGCTGTTGCAGTAAATTGAAAGCGCTCATGAGAGTATCTCCCGCAGGTGTATTTTCGCACCGTGGAGCTCATCCAGGAGCCAGTTGTTGGATCCCCGGGCTTGAGCTTTTATTTCCGTATCAACGGGAAACCAATTTTCCTCAAAGGCTCCAACTGGATCCCAGTCCACTCCTTCCAGGACCAGGTCACCCCTGATGTGTGAGTGGACGTTGGTTCTTTTGAGTTCAGTCAAGTGGTCGCTGTTTAGTTTAACCTATATTCCTCTTTTGCCTCTTGTGTGTAGGTACGTGTCGGGTCTTTTTAGTATTTTATTTTCATCTTTCTGCCTGTCTGTCTTGCAGCTTAAAGAACTTGTTACAATCAGCAGTAGATGCTAACATGAATGCCCTCAGGGTCTGGGGAGGAGGAGTGTATGAACAGGATCTCTTTTATGAAATTTGTGATGAGTTGGGGATCATGGTAAGTGACGCTGCCCTCTAGTGTTTAAAAACAAAACTTTAAATACTTATTTTGTTGTGGCCTTTGAGACATTTGTAGTGATACCCACAGGTGCAAGAGACCAACATAAACCAGGTGAGATTCACTGGCACGGTCTATTAACTGAAGATGATACAGTTCCTTGGATAGAAACCTTATTGTAGTCTTGATATATAATAGAGTATCCTTTGAAATACTGACGTGGTACATGATTTTTCTGCAGGGTTTTTCGTGTGTAATTGTCTTTTATAAGGTTTTGCAGATCAGGACATATAATAAAAATAATCTGGTCCTTAGCAGGTTTTAAAATCGGTAACTACAACCTCAAATAAACAACTCGTGGCATATTAGACAAAGTCATCATTCAGCAAAAAATAAGCCACATTGCAGAAAGTGTGTGAAAATCTGTTTACAGCCTCACCGCTTCCATAGGATTCAACAGGATAAGTAAGATGGTAATAAAAAAGAATCAAATGCGTTTGATTAGCTGATTATGAGCACCTTGATAAAAGCAGTTTGCTGCTCAGGAGCATTAAGGTGTGTTTTGACATCCTTTATCCTTTGTTTGATGTGAAGCCATCTGTCTGACACCTAACGTTTGGGGCAATGGGATGATGATCAGAATGAATGATGATCACGTTGTGATGACCCAGTCAAAGTCCAGACCTCAGGCTGATTGAAATGCTGTGGCAGGGTGTTGAAAGAGCTGTGCATAAAAACAAATGCCCCCAAAAGCTCAATGAACTGAACCAATGAGAGATCAATAAAGTCAGTTAGAGGCAGTTCTATAAACTACTGATTGAGTAGATGTAGTAGTCATTTTAAGACCTAATAAGGACTAAAAAATTTTTGTTTACCTGAAATGTAAACCTTTCTTGACAGACTGTGCACTGCTTTGTGTAATATGACATCCAGCTGGCATAAGCCAGTTGTTGTGCTCTTGCACATGTATGTAACAGTCTGTGGTATTTTTACATGATTTTGGTTGTGTAACATCACTGACCATATTGTAAACAGATGGTTTGCTCACTGTGTTTAAACACATCTTTAGGTTTGGCAGGACTTCATGTTCGCTTGTGCAATGTATCCCACTGAGACCGACTTTATACAGACAGTAAGAGAAGAGGTCGTCCAGCAGGTCAGTTGATATACGGATGTGATTTTTCTTATTTCCTGAAGGTGTAAAATACTGGATAAACAAACCAAACGGGCAGTTTCTCTCGAAAGGCTCCGAGAGGAGATTTAAAATCCTAAAGAAGCTTGAAGTGATATTTCCCTGTATTTCTTTCTCTTATTTTCTTTTTACTGCTCAGGTTCAGCGCCTGAAGTCCCACCCCTCTATAATAATTTGGAGCGGTAACAATGAAAACGAAGCTGCTCTGGCAACAGATTGGTTCGACATCCCAGCTTCTCAAAGGCCGAAATACATCAGAGACTATGTGATGCTTTATGTAGATAATATAAAGAAGCTTGTGCAAGAGGTGAGAGTCTGGTTATGTCACACTTAATGTAAAGATCTGTGTTTTAAATGACTGATTTATCTGTATTGTAATTTACGGTACTGCCAAAGTGTTTTTCCCGTCCAGATTGATTAGTTTTTTACATATTTGCCACACGTGCATGTTTCAACAAAGATAATCGAGTAATTACAAAAAGCAGGTTTTTGTGTTGTTTTTTTTAATTGATGATTTAATTATCAGGAACTGGAGCAATACACTTGCCCAGCAATGTATTTTCAGTATTACTCCTGCAAATCGGTAGAAACAAAAGTCCCATCTCCTTTAGGAGGACCAGAGTCGCCCGTTTCTTGTCTCCAGTCCAACGAACGGGGCTGAATCGGAGCAGGAAGGATGGGTGGCGGAGAATCCCTACGATCTTCACTACGGAGACGTTCACTTCTACAGCTACATCCTCGACTGCTGGGACTGGAGGACCTTCCCACGGACGCGTTTTGCCTCTGAATATGGTTTCCAGTCCTGGCCGTCCTTTTCCACTTTGCAGCCGGTAACTAAATATTATAAAGAAGGAAGCAAAGATGGATTAAAGTTGCTGACTGTTTGTGTTTTCCTTTTATGGTGCTGCAGGTTTCCATTAAAGAAGACTGGAGCTACGGCAGTAATTTCACTTCTCATCGTCAACACCATGAAGACGGAAACCAGCAGATGATCCTGCAGGCTGCTCTACACTTCCACCTGCCAAACGCCACTGATCCCCTGAAAAGATTTACAGATACTCTCTACATCACTCAGGTGAGGTGCAAACCGTCCATGTGTGTGATACTTTTAAGGTGGTATTTAGACTGTAAGTAAAAGAAAACCAACCTGAGTCGAGGAGAAGCTGTCGTGGAGATTTGCTTGAGGGACCTCTTGAACCTCAATGTTCCATTTGGGTGGTGCAGGTGGATGTAAATGAATGCAGAACTGATTGTCAGCAGCATCTTTCTAGATCTGGTACAAAAACCGTCGGTCATCTAGGCACCTCAGGCTGGGGGCGTCTTGTTGTGTGCACTAGAGCATATGTTGCTTATTGAATGAGCTCCTCCACATGCAGTCCAACAAAACAGCCAAAGCTAATTTGTCTGTATCCCAAGTTACAAACGCAAGAGTCGCTGACAAAAAAAAGCATAAAATAATGTTCTCTTTTAAGCCGCTCAGCTCGTTTAATGTTGTCACACATTTTGCTGACTGTGCTGTATGTCCAGGTCATGCAGGCCCAGTGTGTGAAGACTCAGACGGAGTTTTATCGGAGAAGTCGGAGTGAAATTATAGAGGGCAAAGGTCACACCATGGGTGCGCTGTACTGGCAGCTCAATGACATTTGGCAGGCGCCTTCCTGGTCGTCGATTGGTGAGTGGCAAGACAAATTGTTTGTGTAGACTGCTTCAGAACTTTGTGTTCTTAGCTTTGGTAGTGTGACCATTTTAACGTGGAGGTTGTTTTCTAAAATACTTACATAGTCATCTTTGTGTATCTGTTTGCACAGAGTTTGGTGGGAAGTGGAAAATGCTGCATTATTTTGCACAGAGCTTCTTTGCAGCCGTCTTTCCTGTTGCTTTCGAGGAAGACGACACACTGGTCATTTACGCCATTTCAGACCTGAGCCGTGACCTGAAGCTGAGGGCTGTGGTAGGCTTCAGGAGCCAGAATAATTTATTTATTTAGTTATTTTAGTCCCATTTTTGTCTGTTTTCAGTGTTGAACATCTTTAAAGATCAAAGTTTTAGCTGCTGTTATGTGATGTGATGCTTCATGGTAAAATAAATGAGGGTGGAAATATGTTTGTTAAATATTCTGTCATTATAAAATATGACAGTTTCTATTGATAAAAACAGGATTATCTTCTTAAGTCTAAATGCTTGTAGGGGAGTGCAGATCAGTTGAACAGTAAATTTAAACTGGCGCTGTTAATGTTGTCATACTTTTGTGCATCAGGTGAATGTGTTCTCCTGGACTGAGCTGGATCCAGTCTGCACGCTAAACTCAAGCATGCTGCTCGTGCCTGGAGTTAGCGCTGTGGCGGTCTTCAAACAGCCCGTCGCCAGCCTGTTAGCAGGATGCGGAAACTGTACCCGTCTTACCTGCCTGCTCACCTTCCAACTGGAGGACGACAGCAGCCAGCAGGGTCCCACTAACCACCACTTCCTCTGCTCGCCCAAAGATGCTCAAGGACTCCGCAGACCCAACATTACAGTAAGCATTGATTTTTACTGAAAATCATCTGAATGATTTCAGATTCAGGACAGGCATCTTGCCTTGCCCAGCTTGTGCCCAGAACTTGATTATAGACATGTCCTTCCATGATGGTTCCTTGCCTTCCTCGGTACTCTCATCCTGGACTGTGGTGCTGACACTAACCAGTCCCTTGTTTCTTCCGCTCAGGTTGAAACCTTCCATTCCACATACATGTGAGTTTGTAGTTTGAATGGTAAATGGCCTGTATTTATATAGCGCTTTACTAGTCCCTAAGGACCCCAAAGTGCTTTACATATCCAGTCATCCACCCATTCACACACTGGTGATGGCAAGCTACATTGTAGCCACAGCCACCCTGGGG